CTCGACTCCGTGACCACCGGGTACTCCCCTGGCCCGTCGGCGGCAACGACGGCGTATCCATCCTGAAAGGGGAAGGGGGCCGACGGTTTTCGTCAGTAGTCCGATAGCGGCGGAACGGGACGGAACGGACGGCGAAGAGAGGAGGAGGGGGTGCGGATGGGAAGGAAGCAAGGGAAGGCCGTGCGAGCTGACCTTGATGGAGGCGCGGAAGGGAGGGAGCGGGTCGGGCGCGCGGACGTCCTCCGCGAGGACGAGCCCGAGCGCGTCGTGCAGCGGCACGGCGCGCGGCGCCGCGTGGCCCGCCGCCGCGGACAGCACCGCCACCAGCGCCTCCTCCACCTGCAGCATCTCTCACTCCCTCGTCTCCTTTTTTTTTCTCTCCTCCTCCGCTTCAATTTCCCACGGCTCGTCCGCCCCGGCGGCGGCGGGCGAGGGCTCTGTGTCTATCTGTCTGTCGCGGGCTCTCGGCTGACTCGGTGGTGCGCTTTGCGCTGCTCTTTTAAAAGGGAAAATTGAATCGAGGGCTCGCCTGTCGCCTGTGGCGTGACGTCTGAGCTGGTGGAGGAGGGCCAGGGCAGGGCGTCGGCGCCGCCCGGCCGGCCTCCGACTCCGACTCGCGGCGTCAAAACCACGTTGGTTTCTGGAAAGAGACGGGCCTCTGAAAGAGGGAACTGCGTTTGGCCACGGTTCACCCTTCGCCGGGTAAACCAGCCTTCGCCTCGTGGGTGCCTCGGTGATGGATGACGAAGGTTCCTGGTGCTCCCGCCAGGCCACCACCAAAGCCGCCGCCCTCCGGCTCCGCGCCAGCTCGCAACAGCCACCAATCGGCAGAGGCGCCGCGACAGCAACGAGCGAGCCGGATCGTGCGGATGGGATGGGTGGATTAAGGTTAACAATGATCGGCCTGCGCCGCCTCCCGCGTCTCTTTCCGCGCGAGTTGCTTCTGGTTGGCACACGCGCGGTCTCTATCGGAGATTCAGAGGGCACGCACGGACGGGACGCACGGCGCAGAGGCAGGCAGGTTGGTGGCGTTGCCTTTGAGAAGCAACCAGCGACGCGCCACGTCCGCTGACGAAGAGGTGAGCTATTGTGAATCGCCGAGACGCCCAACGGCATCGGATCAGACGGGAGAGTGAGTTGAGCTCTTGGCCTCACCATGACCACGTGCACTTGCTTCGTTAGTCGCCAACTCGCCATGCGACAGTGTACACACATGTGCCGTGCTTTGGCTATCTACTAATGTGACTGCCAGTGCCAGGCCTGGTCAAGCGAAAGCGAACAATGGAACTCAAAGGTAGTAGGAGTACAGGCGACCAGCAAACTCTGACCAAAATGCAAATAACATAAATAATGCTAGTAGTATCCTTTTATGCGAGGGCATTAAGCCATTAACAACCTCAAGCCATACAATAGCCAAACTAGTCACAGGCATAACCCTTGTGACCTCCTGTCCTGGGCTGGATGCAGATCACCTCACAGGTCCCCGACTATCCCAGTCTACTTGAATCACTACAGATATTGCACACCATCTCTCTTTCTTGTCAGCAAAGGTTCACATCATGTATAAAAGTTGTAATGCAGACAGGGGAAGGATTTTTGAATCACCACAGGAGGCAAAATTTTCCGTAGCTCCAAGTCTTTTGGAAATGGAAATACTATAGGATGGACCCAATACAGATGCATCCCCAGCTCGAAATGGCGCAAAATTCTCCACTTCCTGTAAGAAAAGAATTTCAGTTAAGCACTCAAGCTCCAGCATATATATAAGAAGAAACACAGGAGTATTTCTGCTATCCACTGAAAGAGGAAAAAGAAACTGTAACTCTATCACTGACAATACCTCAGGTGTTATCAGAAATAATTAGCTATTATTTGTTCTTGCATTGTTGGCATGTTGATTTAAAGTGAAGAGCCCATATAAAGCAAATAAAAATAACCATGGCACTGCCCAACCTAGTTTCAGTCCAAAAACTCATGGGATCTCTAAACTCATCATATCAGTGTTGCTTCTGTTATGTGCCAGAAAAACTGCAAGCAGTCACACTAAAGATTTCAGTATCCTGATCCGTATCCTAAAACATTAGGATACTATGATCCTCAACAAAGCCTTTAAGTCCTAAACAAGTTGGGGTACCAATTCTGAAACCATGGGCCTTAACATTAGGATACTATGATTTCGGAACCATGTTTGGAAAAAAGCGGATTATCGGCAGAACGCGATAATCGTGACAAACGTGTCGTGACCGCCACGATTTTCTTTGCCGCCCCAGGCCAAGGCCAAGGACCGCAGGATTTGAACTGAGGTATTTTTTGTACCGCGGCTGGTGTACCGCACCATACCGTGGGCAAAAGCCAAACCAAACATGGCCCATTTGTTTCAAATTTTATAGTATAACGGTCCTATGTGAAGATTCCATACAATCATAAATAAAATTTCATAGTATCTTGATACCATGATCCTATGATACTATACAATTACAATAATAAATATAATGACTTTTTAAAACGATTCAATTGTGAGAAATACCATTAAAGTTGACTCTGAAAATAATGCCAATAAATGCACTTAAATGTACAAAAAAGTCAAATAAGTTAATCAAAATCAATATTATAAGCTTAAATCTTTACAACATACTATTACAAATATTTTATAAACTATATAGTTTGTAGAATCCGATAAGATACCGATACTACGATACAATCCTACTATCCAATTCTATCAAGCAAAAAAAGGTCTTGCCTAGGATCCCAATCCTAACAACCTTGGTCACATTTATAGTTTTATACCATCCACAGAGTTTGTCCAACCTATAACTTCAGGCCTCAACAAATCTGACCAAAGTGGTACTAAGGAATTACACTACCTAAAGTACAGCCCTGACAGCGTATTGACCTAATGTGTGGAGAGAGAGAGTTTACAAGTATGACCAAGAAATAAAATATGTTTATATAAGAATAGCAGCATACCCCCAAATTTTCAGTAAGATGGCATGTTCATATTGTGTTCATACAAGAGTGGTACTGCTGAAACACAACTGTCAAGTGTCTGACAAAACTAACCAAAATATGTAAACCGAAAGATAGAGCTTCCCTCAGATATTGCATATCAGTACCAGATGGCAGATGCTACATATATCCTCAGCTAAGTAAACACTTCTCTAACACGTAAAATTGGTAGATAGGACGAATGTAAATTATCTTCAGTTCCCAATTGGGACCTGTTTGTATCACTTAATTGAGCATTTCTCCATTCAACCTCATATTGTGGGATTGCTAAATCTTAACATTACAACGCCGGTGCATGACACAGTTCGGTCGGTCCAAGGGGAAGTGGGCAGCCTTACCTGTTCTACTCTTCGTCCTTCAGAACCCGCTCGCTGGAGGCCGACGCTGCGGCGGCGGCGGCGGCGGCGGCAGCTTGCACTTCCTCCCGAAGGATCTTCTGCACATCGTTGACCCGCATCCGGACGACACCGCCGACCACAACTGCGCGCAAATCATCAAATGATCAGTGGGCACTGGCGTGAGTTCGCACGATTAGATAGAAGGCAAAGAAGAAAGGGTAAAAATGACGGATGCGGTTACTTGCGGCGGTGCCCAGGGTCCAGATCCACAGGATCTTGAGTCCCGGGCTCTTCTGGCTCCACCTCGTCACCATTAGAGGAGCGGCGGCAGCCGGCGAGCGCGCTAGAAGAAGAGCAGCTCCGGCCGGGCTAGAAGCGCGGGGAGCGCGGGGCGGCGCAGGCTGAGCGAGGAGCACGGCGCTGGGGCCAGGCGAGCGGCTCCAGCGGCGTGGCGCGTCGGTGGCCCAGCAAGCGGCACGAACGCTGGACGAGGACCGGGGCGGGGTTGCGGCGGCGCTGACTGAGCGGTGCTGGGCGAGGGGGCGGGGCAGGGGGCGCGGGCTGAGCGAGGAGGGGGAGGTCCGGCCCAAGGGTACTGTCACGTGGGCCCCACTTGTCAGGCAGCTCAACCCATATCGGGAGTCCCCAAACGGAGCGCAAGACGTACCAGTAGCAGTAAGCATCCCCTGCTCAATCAGACACGAGTTAGGCTGGGGTGTCCTATCTCAAAAATAATGATGGAAACCATAAGGCTTAGAGTGAAGAAATATTCAGATTTTGGGTTTTCCCCTTTGTTCACTAAGACTGAGGCAACGACTTATACTAGTTAACCATTCTCTCTTAAAAGGAAAAACTTTGACATATTCATATCATAATTTAGAAGGGCGGGCCTGGTGCAAGTGGTAGAGTCTTACCGTCGTGACCGGAATGTTCCGAGTTCGAGTCATGATCTCCTCGCATTGCACATGCAAGGATAAGACTTGCCACTGACACCCTTCCCCAGACTCCGCACATAGCGAAAGCTCTCTGCACTAGGTATTACCATTATTCATATCATAATTTAAAATTTGGTTCTTTCCATTGGTTTAATTTCGACAAACTATAGTTTGTTTTTATAGATGCCCTACCATGTCATTGAAAATAAGAGGGATTTAATAGTCAACTCAACAACAAAGCTCTCTCGAGGGGAAAAATGTTTACTCCCCAGCCGTCCTCTAATTTTTATGCTCCGTCTGCATTATGGAATATAATTTCATTGTATACATTTTTATCTTTCTTTAGACGTATACATTTTTTTATCATGAATATTAATGTTGTTTTCTATAAATTCAGTTAATTTTAGATAATTTGACTTATGAAAGAATCAGAATTACATCATTTTTATACTTCTCGAATTTTCGGGACGGAGGCACTGGTAGTTCTACCGAACATAGATCGTCTTCACTCCGGCTTCCCATCAACCACGTTCTTTCGTTTGCTCAAAGATTTACAAAGTTTCAGTAGAGGGGATTAAATATTTCTACCAAAATTGACAGATGAAATATCTAGGCATGATACATCAATGATTTGTCATGTCAGGAAACTATAATAAGTTTGCTCCTCATTATCTACATAAAATTTATTGAATGTTGACACCAAGGCACTCGTATAAATTACTCACTTGGCACAAGGCACTCGCATAAAGCCCCTCCATAAGTTTTTCACAAAGGTGTTGGTGACTTGCACACTCTGTGATGGGCATTCTATAGCCTGGCTAATGAGATATTCATATAACCTGGCTAATGAGTTGCAGATTTCCCAGGCAACATAATTCATGTCACTGGTAGATTCCACACGAAGCACGTCAAATTTCAAATCAGAAGTGCATTGAGCTAGCAAGTAAACACCAACAAATAAACCAGGCACCATAATCAAATGCATGTACAGCACAGGTGGAGCCGAACCCTTACATCTTGCTATAGGAAAGTTAAAGACACTTGATTTATATTTTGATTAGATACAATCAGATAAGCATTATGGCACTCTTACAGACTTACAGGTCTCATGCGGATGGGACACCCCAACATGTCAGGCACTGTTCTCTGCAAATCAGGAAGCCGGAATCATCAAGGAGGAGGCCGACAACTTACCTTGATTCTTCTTTCTCAACAGATCAGCTCGACGCTTAGCCTCTCTCTCTGCTGTCTGGACATAAAATTCAGCACCGAGCATGTCATTTATCTCTACATTTGATGGCGACTTGCTTCTTCCATGGTCTCAATTATCAGTTCGACGGTCAAAGTGAATCCTAGGGCTGAGAGCACACGTACAGCATTGGCAAGCCGCAAATATGCTTCCTCGTTTCTAATGGGGTAAAATTCTCTGCTTCAGTGCTGAACCTCTGCTGACCTCCTGTCGTTTTTGTTTTTTCACCCACCACAACATGCTCACCAAACCCAGATGAATCCATTGCAACCAAGAATCAAGTCGACATTGTACTGCTCAAGATGATGAAAATGCTGCTTCTTTTTAACCAAGTATGGAGGTACCATCAGCAATTGACCCTCTCTCGAGCTGCATGAATAAATTAAACCACTCAAAAACATATCAGCAACAGCCTAATGTGTCTCAGGAAGCCGGATGGTAATTTTTTTGTAAGACAAGACTTTAGCTAGACCAGACACATACAAATCTGAGACCTATTTAAGGTATTATCAGCATAATGAAGACTAAAGGCATGGAGGCTTAAGGCACATCTATGAAACATCCATGCGTCTCCCTTGCATCGCTGCACCAAATGATCTACATCCAATTTTTGCACTCACATTGAAGGCCTCTATCTTTTACAGATGACACCAAGCTAAATTGAGGCATTAAAAGGTGACAGACAGATAACAGTACAATGGGGTAGCAAATCCAGTGTAATCTAAATTGGCATGTACCTTTCCATACTTTTCACTCCTTGCCTGTAGGTGTAGATGACATGAGTTTTCTTGGATTGGACCAGCATAGTTTAAAACAGTCGTGCATATAACAATAGCTCATGATTCGTGTTTCGAGGGCAAATGCCGGCGTCCATAACAATAGTAGGATTGCATAAATGTCGGCGTCCGCAACACTTCTTTGGGGGTGACATGCAATAATTAAGGGCTTAAAAAATCATTGCAACTTGTCAACATGAGGGAATATCCAAAGATGGTCCTTCCTTCCACAAAAACATTGCTTCTATGCAAATAAGGAAAGTATCAATATTTAAAATGACTTGAGTACCTTCATGCAAAACACTTAATATCTGGCCCCTTTCAACAGATCAGACAGTTATGAAGGAGTATTGATCGCATAGATGTCGGCGAGATAAATGATCAATGGTGTATAGCTAGAGAGTCGATATAAATGTGGCGAGTGCCTTGCATCCAAACCTCGAATACAAATGCCGGGTTGAAATACTTCAGGTGAATTAACCCTCGACGTCAACAGCATATAAAGCTGTGAGTCCAGCTTGCAGAAGGGGATTAAAAATGGAATGTACGACCTAATAATCAACAAATGGTAGGCGGAATGATGCCTCGACCATCAGCCTATAGACAAACGTTTGGACAAAAGTGACTGAGTAGTTTTGTTCTGCATATTGATCAAATTCTTTGTTGGTGCTACTGCTCAACGTTTGATGGTTATTAGCTCCTCCTTTTTGGGTACCCCAGTATTCGGTCCCGATACACGTCAAATTTCAAATCAGAAGTGCATTGAGCTAGCAACAAACGGATCAAAGATCTGCCAGGTACAACACTGCCGGCACCAGGCACCATAATCAAATGCATGTACAGCAGAGTGGAGCGAACCCCTTGCATCTTTGCTAATAGGAAAGGTGTACATAGAACTTGATTGCATATTTTGCCTTAGATACAATCAGATAAGCATTATGGCACTCTTACAGACTTACAGGTCTCATGCGGATGGGACACCCCAACATGTCAGGCACTGTTCTCTACAAATCAGGAAGCCGGAATCATCAAGGAGGAGGGCCGAGGGCGCTACCTACTTACCTTGCCCCATTCTTCTTTCTCAACAGATCAGCTCGACGCTTAGCCTCTCTCTCTGCTGTCTGGACATAAAATTCAGCACCGAGCATGTCATTTATCTCTACATTTGATGACACACTTGCTTCCATGGTCTCGATTATCAGTTCGACGATCAAAGTGAATCCTAGGGCTGAGAGCACACGTACAGCATTGGCAAGCCGGCAAATATGCTTCCTCGTTTCTAATGGGGTAAAATTCTCTGCTTCAGTGCTGAACCTCTGCTGACCTCCTGTCGTTTTTGTTTTTTCACCCACCACAACATGCTCACCAACCCAGATGAATCCATTGCAACCAAGAATCAAGTCGACATTGTACTGCTCAAGATGATGAAAATGCTGCTTCTTTCGTTTAACCAAGTATGGAGGTACCATCAGCAATTGACCCCTCTCGAGCTGCATGAATAAATTAAACCACTCAAAAAACATATCAGCAACAGCCTAATGTGTCTCAGGAAGCAATGGTAATTTTTTTTGTAAGACAAGACTTTAGCTAGACCAGATACATACAAATCTGAGACCTATTTAAGGTATTATCAGCATAATGAAGACTAAAGGCATGGAGGCTTAAGGCACATCTATGAAACATCCATGCGTCTCCCTTGCATCGCTGCACCAAATGATCTACACAGACCAATTTTTGCACTCACATTGAAGGCCTCTATCTTTTACAGATGACACCAAGCTAAATTGGAGGCATTAAAAGGGACAGACAGATAACAGTACAAGGGTACAGTAGCAAATCCAGTGTAATCTAAATTGGCATGTACCTTTCCATACTTTTCACTCCTTGCCTGTAGGTGTAGAGATCCATCATGTTGGAAGCCGCGAACTTCAGCCTGGTAATGGATTACATGCAAAGTAGCAGCATATTATTTTAAAACAGTTTGCATATAACAATAGGAAAAAAGAGATTGCACTATAAAAAGATAGAGGCCACAGAAGTTCCTTGGGGATGAATGCAATAATTAAGAAATGAGCGGAAAAAATCATTGCAACTTGTCAACATGAGGGAAGGTAAGCAAAGCACAAAAGAAGTCCTTCCTTCCACAAAACACATTGCTTCTATGCAAATAAGGAAAGTATCAATATTTAAAAATGAAACACCCAATACTGGGACTGATCTTCATGCAAAACACTTAATATCTGGCCCCTTTTTCAACAGATCAGACAGCTTCTTTTCAGTGCATTGATCTAGAGTAGGTGTGCAAACATGGTCCACAAAGATAAATGATCAATGGTGTATAGAGACTAGAGAGTAGATATAAATGTGGTAACTGTGCCTTGCATCATTCTTTATAAGACTAATCGAGTGAATACAAATGCCAGATTCAGGTTGAAATACTTCTAGGTGAATTGCGACTGCATGGTAGAGAAGCAACAGCATATAAAGCTGTTTAAGTAGCGCCTTGAAGCTGGCAGAAGCCTATGGATTAAAAATGGAATGTACGATGTATAATCAACAAATGAGCAGTATAAAAATGATGCCTCAAAATGCCATCAGCCTATAGACAAACAGTAGACCAGCAGTTGCTCCAGAACTGAGTAGACATATGAAAAAAGGAAACCGCAAGCAAATAAGATGATTCCTTGACATAAAATAATGACGAAAAGTGGGCATTGCCATATTGATCATGCATTCTTTGTTGGTGCTACTGCTGACATCATAGATATAGTCATATGTCAGTGCAACACCCTAAGTAAAAACAGATTTGAAGTCACTATACACAAGATGAACTGAGTGTTGACTCCAGCACCAAAAGAAATAACTGCTTGAAACAAACAGAGCAAGTATCGCACTTACACAGATAACATCATTTTCTTCAAAGATACTCCGCATATTAAGTTCATCAACAGCAGTTCTCCTTCTCTAATAGAGGGAACAGGGGGGAAAGTGGTTAATTGGATATTGGACAAGAATCACTAGTGTAATTAGTAATGAACTCAGGATAGAACTCATTAATTCTTTTGAGCTGACACAACCTTAAGACTGTTTGCAATACATAATTAGTTGAAAACATGGAAATAGAATCATTTCTTGGCATCTAATGTGTTACACTTGCACATATTGATGGTAGAGATTATGCTGTGCTCAAAACTTTCTTATGCATTGACATTGGTGATTAACTGCTTACTGCTAAGCGTTCAGCATTATTTATCCTCCAGAATGGTATATCAAACAAACTGTTTATTGCCTGTCCAATTTTTGGGTGCCACAGGGCAAATATGCAGGAAAGCGCACCTGAATACCATCGGGCAAATTCATAGACGAAAGCATCAGAACAGCATCTTGGCTAAAATTTATCTCCAACCTCCAACGCTTAGGAGCAATCTTGCAAACACAAACCAATTAATTGTGGTATGAAATGTAGTGTGTTGTTTGCACCATATAGAAAATAGTGTTCAATTCTAATTGAGTGACAAACATGACTACTATAAGATTCAGACTGGCCTAATAACTCTGATCACCAAATGGATATGTATCAAAAAGCCATGGGTCATTAAACACCTACAATTAGTCAGAGCTACAAACTTAATCGAAATACAGGTAAAATAAGTTCGATCTATGCAGTATCTGGGGAAACACATTCTCATATCTGCATGTTATGAAACATGGAAAAAATGTTCTGGGTTTCATATTCAAAATCTCTAAACGACTAAACCAATGAAATGTAGAACATCCTAGTATTGCAAAAAATTAGAATGAATTTACACACCTCAATCACACGGCCAACTATGATATCACCAACCTCCGGCTTGTATCTGAAAAAAGGCCAAAGAGAACAAAATTCTAACTGAGTGATAAACAATAGTAAGTGTGGGGAATAACTCACAAGTTTTTTGCTTGTGAGTTTATTTTTCTAAACAAAAACATCAATAAAAATAAGTGTGGGGAATAAGATCAAGTAAACCACACTACTTCAGCGCCAACAGATATGGGCATTGTAATCTGATTGACCAAACATATGAATTCAGTAAAACATATAACCAAGCCTAAATTTTGCAGGCTGAATATCAACCTACCACTAAATTCAGTATAACAAGTTCACAACTGAATTCAGTGTATTTGTCCGATTGGTAAAAATCAGGGGGACGAATTCCTCCACTGTTTGCAGATAAATAGATACGCCAATGGAGAGGAACACAGCAGAGGCGCGCGCGTACCTCGCCTTGAGAGTACGGACGTAGACCAGCTTGTTGACCCGCTCCACCACCCCGCAGAGCGTCGCCACCACCTCCCCGTCCTGGTCCGACGTCCCGTGCCCCCTGCGCCACAAGCACCCACGCATCAGGCGCGCACGGACGGACAGACAGGGGTAGAAAGAAACAGAGAGAGGGAGGCTCTGTACTTGAGGATGTTGTCCTCCTGATTGACGGGAATGGTGTCCGCGACGGTGACGGCAGCGGCGGACGCGGCGGCGGGCGCAAGGGACTGGAGCTCGTGGAGCGCGGCCTCCAGGCGGACCCGCTGCGTCTGGTTCAGCGAGAGGTGGCGGTCCTTCATTGCCAATCTCTTCTTCTCGAGAGCACCAGAGAAGCAGGACGAAGACGCCGCGACGGTGCCGACGGCCGAGGAAGGAAGAGAAGCAGTAAAACCCTAGCAAAACCCGTCCCGGCTCCAACTGGGCCTATGGGCCGACACAACCCACGCAACGGCCCAATGCTTCCCGCTCTTACTCGCCGCCCTTCTCTTTCTCACCAACGCCCCGCTCAAGGCTGGCCTAGTCGCTGCGAGCCTGCCTCACGGTCGCGCCACCGCCGCTGCGACCTCGCCTCGCGCTCGCGCCGCCGCAGCCCTCGGCCCTCGCTCGCGCCGGGATAGGGTAAGGTTTTTTGGGCAGTGGGGCACAGCTGCGGGATTTTTTTTTTCTTGAGTAAAATCCATTACCGGTGTTTAAACTTGCGTTTCCGTCGTCCCGGTCCCTAAACTCTTAAAATGATTATCCAGGTACCTAAGCATGGTTCGGGTCTCACAATAGTCCTATCGGATCTCCATGCGATCCTTTAATTTGCGTAGGTGTGTCATTTTGGTCCCAAGTGTCGTGAACTAGCTAGCAGGATCAGCGTGCTCTGGCCACTGGCCACTCACGCTCGGCCTTCGGTCTGAGCTGCCACAGTACGTGCCAACCACGGCCGGCATCTGGGTCTGCGGACTCGAACGCGACAACCACGCCGCCACCGAACACCTCCTCTTCGGCGCCCGCGTAGGCAGCGGACTTCTCTTCGGGGATGAGTTCTTGTCTGACGTACACGTACCTGGGTCGAAGAGGAGCCGGTGGGAGTGGATCCCGGCACGACAGTGACATCCACCTCGACGCCTCGGACGCATGGAGAGGATGTCAGAGAGTCCTGCTGCAGTGCTGCGCGGAGGTGGCTGTGAAGGAGGACTCGATGAAATCGGGGACGATGAAGACAATGGTGCCGTCGCTTGCCTGAGACCCAGAGTAGAGCTGTGGCCGTGCTGATAGGGCCCATCAGGACTAGGGTGAGGGTGGAGGCATGTTGGGCTGATGTGGGCTGGATTGGTGACGTGGGGTGGGCAAGCCGAAGTAGGGAGGCTCTGTTCGGTTTACACAGTTTCTCGGTTTCTCGTGCTCAAAAACCAAAGCCACCCCAAGTTGGTCAAGTGCTAGGACAGTTTAGTGGGACACTATTTATCAGGGTTTAAACTCTAGTGTTTGCACCTTTTTTGTAGAAAACAAAGGAACTTCAGAAAATTTATGGTAATTTGACGCAAGAAGAAGCGAACTAATGGCTTTGGTTCTACCAAAAACTTCTAATTAGCGTTTCATTTCACTTCTTTAGATGGTTAATTGAAACTCCCAATCCCTTTTTATGTTTTCCTTTTACGGACACGCACACGAAGATGAAGTCCAACCTGTGCCTATGAAGAAAGTGTGAAAGTGAGGGTTGTGTGTGTAAAGTTTAAAGTTGTACCTGATCAAAAGAATCGAAACTAAAAACCAAAAATTTGATATCTTGGTTTGGTTTGGTTTGGCTCTCATTTTTTGGTGAAAAAGTGCACAGCCTGACTTGTCGCTTCTTCCGACCTCGCATATGTGACACTGACACCGTGCATCCACTTTTTTCCATTGAGAATAACGGTTTTGGTCATTTTTTGAAGTTATCACTATGATTAGAAAAGGACGAAGTTAAAGCAAATTCGAAGGAGGTGCGTCTTGTGCAAAGATTTATGACATGGAGGTACAATTATGGTGAAAATTCGGTTTTTTCTACTGTCTTCTAAATTTTTGCATGTCTTATCTAAATAGGGCAGCCCCCTGTTGCGCTGCGTGATTGTTTCGTCGACTTTAGTTTTTGCACCAAAAAGCACTAGATATGTTTTATGTGGGTACACCCTCTAGTTTGTAAATAACTAATATCTTGGACAAAGGTATAGTCTCCAAAACATAGCTTTGACCGAGTTTTCTATTAGAATACAAATAAACATCTTGACAATGTTATGCTTATATGAAAGTACTTTTCAAGCATTCATGTATATGATCATCTAGTATTTAAGTATGTGAACTAAATAAGTTATTAAAAGCTATTTATAGTTAAGGTTTTAAAAGTTTGACCCAAACATTGTCTAAAACATGAAGAGTATGCAACAACAGTGTAAATAAAATAATCTTACTCCACATATATACTATTTGCTTTGCTACGTGCTCCGGGACTCAGTTTGGTGAAGCAACACGATACCATCAAATGATTTGATGGTTCGTCTTATAGGTTTTGTAACACTTAGGGCATCTTTATAACATGGGCAAAGAGAAATAAAAAAAACATAGGGATATGAAAAAAAAATAGCATAAAGTGAAAACTAATGAATCTAACATAGATGAATGCCTAAAGTTTGCTCTTTAGATTTGCGCGAACATTTGAATGTGAACACTTTGTCCTTTGTTCCAAAGGCTCTCGTGTGATTTTTTTTGGGGAAGGAAAAAAATCCAAAATTCATGTAAAAAAAACTATCGTTCCAAATAGTATGTCCACAAATGCGTGTTCCATTTTTTGCATACATGCCCATAGAGCCAGAATTTGCACCCGTCTCGATGCTGGCGGCGGCGCGGCGCCAATACGCGGCGCGGAGGTGGAGCCGCATGCGAGTGCGTGTCCGCCCGCGTGGCGTCCACTCTCCCTCCACGTTTCGGCGTCCTCCTCGCCTTCCCGGGAATCTCCTCCAGCAACTGACCCTCCCCTTCCCTTCGCTCCCTGGACTCCCCCGAGCACTGCTACCAGTAGTACCAGCATGCCTTCAGGTCTCCACCAAGCGCAGACACCGCAGCAGCAGCACGAACTGGCGATCTCCGTCGCGTCCAGCCTCCTCCTCCGGTGATCGCCGGACGGGCGGGATTGGAACCAGCGGAGCGCAGCCCACCTTCTTCCGCTGGTAAGCGTCACGGCCGCCCGCTCCTCCCTCCTTCCGCAGCTCCTCTCCGGGGGCCCGGGCCCCCTCGCCGCTGCGCCCGGATGTGTGCGCCATCTGTTTGACGAAACGCCGCTCCGCCTAGGAACATGCTTGCTTGCTGCTTCTCGCTCGATTTCGCTCGCTTCCTCTCGCTCGATCCTGGCGTACCAGTCTCGCCGCGCGGTTTGGGGCTTTGTTGCAGAGCTAGTTAACCAGCAGAGCTAGATGGCAGATGCAGATCGCTTGCTTCTCTGTGGTTTGACTTTTGGAGTCACCATTTCAGTTCGCTTCGTGTGCCTCTGTGTGTGACAGCTGCAGATTCTCGATGGAGATGGATGGGGTTCTGCAAGCCGCGGATGCCAAGGACTGGGTTTACAAGGGGGAAGGCGCCGCGAATCTCATCCTCAGCTACACCGGCTCGTCCCCTTCCATCATGGTATGCGCTGAGTAGGTTCTTACTGAGTGTGCCCGCATCGATCACTTGGCTTTAGGGGTCTCTATGTGTGATTCGCGGGTGCAGCCATTGAGCCCCAGATCCAGTACCCGGTCGAGCAAGTGATGAAACATGGATCAGGGACGCTCACGTGGTTGCTTGAAAATTAAGCATACGTTACTTTTCCATGATTGTGCATTTTGTGACCATGCATATGTTTTTTTTCCTGAATATTGATGGGATATGTTTGGGAGGAAGCATTGTTTCACTTTGATGATAAGGATGTTATTTCACTTGTTTTCAGCTTGGCAAGGTACTGCGGGTCTAGAAGATTCTAAACGACAAGTCACAGCAGGCACCAAGTTGTATGGTCTTCTCAAGTCATGAGCAACTCCTGTGGGGCCATATCCCAGAATTGGTTGAGTCTATCAAACAAGATTGCTTGGCTCAAGCCTATGCAGTGCATGTTATGAGCCAACATCTGGGTGCCAATCATGTCGATGGTGGGGTATGGTTCAGGTTCAGTTCATTTATGTCCTGTTATTGTGATTTTGATTGGTAACATATCGACAACCTTGACACTTGGGATCAGATTCAGTTCACTTATGGAAGAAATTGGAGAATTGCTATAATTTCCTTATAATCACCCCTACTGAAATAGAAATAACATGGCATCAATGTGCATACTATTGAATTCTGACATGAATATGCTTTATTTCATCATTTGTTGCTGATTCCAGTAGGCACTACTCTTTGGATCTGCATGACTAGACAAATAAATCATGCTATCTTTCCATGACGCAGGTTCATGTATGTGTTTCTAGGGATTTTCTGGAGCTTGTTGAAAAGAATGTTCTTAGCAGCCGTCCTGCTTGGAGAGTAAATGCAAGTTCAATTGATAACACTGCTGATGCCGCTCTTCTAATACCAGACCACTCATTATTTTCTGGTACACACTTGCATATATTGATACAATCTCCATTCCTCTTCTTACCGTAATCTGAATCTTGTTAAGATAAAAAAATATGATTGATTAAGTAAGGTCCAGAGCTCTATTCATTTCTCATGCACCGATGTTTTGATGAAACGCTGTGCAGCAAGACTTTTGCTTAACTTGTTATTTCTATTTACATTAGATGAACAGTCACCTTCTTTGTCTATAAAGATCTTCGAATTTGCAGTTCTAATAGGTTTAAATTTGCAACTGTCACTTACAACAGCCCAATCGGTAGCATCAAGATGGGTAGAAACTGGCTTGTTTTCTCATTGATTCATAACTTAAACTCTTGGTTAAACCTCTAGAACATGGTTGGTGTCTTCAAATGCAACTGGTCCTGAGGCCGTAACCTGAAATCATTGTAGTTTCCTCTTAGTTCTTTAGATATTTCCAAAACTCTATATTAGATTGAATTTATGTTTGCTTACTAAGTCTTTCTTAATCTCAGGTAATCCTACGGGTAGCAGCTGCATAGCTGTAGAGATAAAGGTACTTTGCAAGCTTCCTCTTCTATTCTTATTTTTTCATTTCTGATGTATATTTCTCCTTCACCATTTGACTTCTTTTTGGCATGCTTTACCTTACAGGCCAAATGTGGGTTTCTGCCATCATCAGAATATATATCAGAAGATAACTCTATCAAGAAACAAGTAATGAGATATAAGATGCATCAGCACCTCAAATTTCATCAGGGTGAGGTATGTAGATTGGAATGCTTGATCCAATATAGAATTCCACTCTCTTTTGCACACTCGAAAAAAACATCCATCGATGATATGGACTTTATCACAATACCTTAAGGCTTGTTATTTACGGCACTCTTGTAATACTATACCGTCTCTTGCTTTTTGACTTCAGGTTGATTCCCAATACATTCTTGCACACATTTCAGATATCGAAGACTAGTGAATACAATCCTCTTGATCTATTTGCTGAGTCAAAAGAAAGAATACGCATGGCCATCAAGTCATTTTTCTCAACTCCTCAGAACAACTTCAGGATTTTTGTGAATGGATCTTTAGCTTTTGGTGGCATGGGAGGTGGTGCAGATAATGTTCATCCTGCTGACACCCAGAAGTGTATTGAAGATCTCAGCAAGGTTAGTGGCCTAGAACTCCTGACTTCACTGAGCTCCTGTCAGAGACAATTTTCAAATCTGGGGTATTAGGCAAACTGTTGACCACTCAAAAGCTGGACGATCATGACATTGAAGGGGCAATTCATCTGTACTACAACATAATTTCTCAGCCTTGTTTGGTCTGCAAAAACCTAACTGATGTAGAGCTACTGCGGAAGTACACTCTCTTGCATTCTCTTCCGTTGGACATGAGCCTGAAGATTGTTAGGGAATTTCTCATTTCTGCTACTGCAAAGGACTGTAGCCTGATGATCAGCTTTCGGCCAAGAGAGAATGGAAGTACAGATTCTGAGTATGATTCAGTGTTTCTTGAATCAGTGAAGCGAACCTATGAGTACAAGGTATGCTACTGTGAAATCTAGTGTTGTTGTACCTATATCTTCTAGTTGTCCAGCTCTCCAGCCACAAAACTAGCTATATAGTTCACAACTGAGTTTGCTTGTGAATTTATTTTTTGCTTATTTTTTTCCAGGATAAATGGTGTTAAACTGCACATTCCTTTTGCAGGCATATTTTGTTGATCTGGATGTGAAACCTCTGGTTAAGATGGAACATTATTTTAAACTGGATCAGAAGATAGTCAATTTCTACACAAGAAATGGGGAGGTCGTGCCACCTCCGATGGACAGTAAGAGTAAAGACACTTCACCGATTCAGCTCCAACAATGAGGAGCCTCTCTTCCTATATAGGTCTGAAGAAGGGTGCATCAGGGAGTGTTGGTTGTTGTTCCTGCTGCCTGCTGCTGTTGTTGTAACTTCGTGAGTACAGTCCCAAGGTTGGGAGGTTTGGTCTTTACCCTTGGAAAGGGTACAGGGAGCTGTGTTGTTCGTCGTCTCTGTTGTAACTCTACTTGTGCATACACCGTGGCTTGTCACAGCAATCTCCGAAGATGTCCAATGTTAGTTGAGATAACTGAACTGCTTACCGTGGCAACCACTCGCTCACTGTAACGTCAAGTTGAAATGAGGGCTGAAGTTTCCCTCGAGGCTACCATATGTGATATGTCCTGTGTACCACTTAAGTGTGCCTGTGTCATGTGTGATGTGTCTCAATTTGCTATTGCGGAAATGTTTGGTGAAACTTTCATCCTCTCATGCCTTGAGCAAAGCGAACCTAACTTCTTTGAATCAGTTGCAATGGCTGGGAATCTGTATGTACCCTAGCCGTTGGCTTCATTCTAGCAAATCCTGCCTGCCGGACCTGCGATGCTGTCTGTTTTCGTTGTGATGGCTACAGCCTACAGGCCACAGGCGCCTGTCGCCGTCCAGCACTGTTCATGTCTCGTGATTCTGCTGTTCCTGATGAGCTAGCTAATCGAAAGGCATGAAGTGTCTCTAGTACTGCCTGCTTATAGGTGTGCTATTTCTCTGGCCAAGGATGCATGTAGCCTTTGATTCGCCAAAGCCATCCGGCGTCCGCCGTTTCAAGAACTAGTCAGGGTGGTTCAGCTTCCAGCTTCTAGACAGAGACAAAATGTGGACTTCCTGTTTAAACAGTTAGGAATTGCAGCTAAACTAATCGCATTTCTCCTGTGTATTTCGTCAGGGTATCAGGATCACGCACGTCAAAGTTGTATAATTTTCTGTCACCAGCCGCCGGGACTACAGGAGTCTCAGCGACGGCAAGTTAGAAAGAGACCGAGTTGGTGATGGCAATTGTTACTTACTTATGTTGCCAAATGCCATTGCAAAGGGACAGAGCGAGCGATTGGACTTCTCCAGGCAGGGGTTGAGCTACCCAATTTGTCCCTCCAACCACCTGAAAACCAACCGGCATATCTGCAGCAGCAGTGGTAGCTCCAGGTGGGAGCAAGACACCTGCCGGCCAGCACTTTATCAGGCAAGGCCGGAGAAAGCGGCGGCAAAGGGACCCTGCGGCGTCCATGTCGAAGGTGACGGTGCTCAAGGTGGACACCTCCTGCGCCAAATGCAAGCGCAAGGTCCTGCAGGCCGTCACCGGCCTCCATGGTACGTACACGTACGAGCTAGCCCTCTTCTTCTTCTTCGGCCATGCACGCACCATGGATTCCGTCCAGCGACGATCGTTTTGGTGGGCGCAGGTGTTGACAAGGTCGAGGTGGACTCGGAGAAGAGCACGATGACGGTGACGGGCACCGTGGACCCGGTGGACGTGATCGTGCAGGCGAGGAAGGCCGGGAGGCGCGCGTCCGTGCTCACCATCGGCCCGCCGCCCAAGCCGCCGGCCGAGGAGAAGAAGCCCGCCGAGCAGGATAAGAAGAAGACGGAGGAGAAGAAGACGGCGGCGGCGGGCGCAGAGAAGAAAGCGCCCGAGACGCCGGCCACGGTGTTCGTCCACCACGTCCCGTCGTGGCCTTCGTGCCCCAGGTACCAGGAGAGAGTAGTGTACGAGCAGGAACCGCCGCCTTGCTCCATCATGTAATGTAACTTTAACTAACTGAGCCGGATCTGACCATGGGTATACATCACCGCTCCCGCTTGCTCATTTGGAACTTGGAACAGGTACAGGAACTTTGTAAGACCATATCAGAGGAAATCGTTATGATATTGAATCTCGTGCCTTATAAACTGCCGAGAAGGATTAAAAATTACGATCAAATAAAGAAAAAATATATGCAAAGTTAGATTAAGGGTGTCCATTAGTACTAAAAATTAGCTACCTCTTCATGAACCTTTCTAAAATCTACTCTCTAAATTATCATTTGGAAAGTCATTTGAGTAAAAGTCATTTTCTATATCTCTGTATTTTCCAACAACTTTTCTATATGCCAAGTCATCCTCGTTCTCCATTTTTAGCTAGTGAGATATCTTGAATAGATGATATCTATATTTGGATATCCAATTGAAGAGTCCGTTGGATAATATTTTTTATCAAAATCTCTATTCCTTTTAATTAGAGAAGATATAAAGAGTTTTTTGGAGATGCTCTTCTATCTTTTAGCTAGCTAGCTAAATTTTAACAAGAGGCTGTTTGGATCTACTTGCTAATAGGTGGTTGGATAAGTTAAAGGTGTATATAAACTAGTAGCACATATTAGCAACTCTAATCATGTTAATGGAACTAATAGTCAGTAGCCCTTCAACTAATAATTAGTAGTTTTATTAGTAATTTCAAATGGTAATTTTTAGTGCTAATAGATCCGAACGGTCCCTAAACCAAAAACTCAAACCAAATTAAGATAAAAATGTATGGCTGAATTTGGAAGTAGAAAGTTACAAAATATAGTAAATTGACTTCTATACGAATTGAGAAACAAATGCGTGGATAAAAACAGTCCGTGTCAACTACAACTGACCCTGTTCGCTATATACCTTCCCGATCATCGATCCGATGTGTACATTTATATTTTGTTTCTTTTTTTTCCGTAATGCTACGATACGGGCGTCCGTTCGCATAGATGTTTCTTAGTGGACCGTGACACTAGCCTAATTATCCTCTCCCATCTGTTCAGGAGTTTCTTAAAAAAATAAATCCTCTTGTGTAGTCCTATCCTCTTGTCCACTCGCTCTTGCTCCAGCCTCCAGCACTCTCTCCTCACACCACACCTCCGAACGACCTGCTACGCAAGGTCACAGCAGGATACTCTCACGTCCCTACTTCCTCCCCAGGATGAAGCGCCCGCTCCGGCTTCTCTCCCATGTGGCCGGCCATTTCCCGCGCTGCTTCTTCCTGTGAGGCACCTGGCCTCTTTCCGCGCTGCTCCGCGCACCGGCGCCACGCCCCATCCACCTCGTCCGTCACAGAAAGGGAGGCAGGAGGAGGCCTATGCTTGCACCTGCGCATGGGTCCCCATCCACCTCACACCGTCGGCGAGAAGGAGAGGATTGCACCACCGAGTTTCCCACCAGGTAGGCCATAGCCAGCGACGACGCTGTGTTTTCAAGTGTTTCAGGTGTTTTCAGATATGTAGCAAGCCTATGTTTCAGGTGTTTTATATGGATGTTGCAAAAGTATATCGGGATGTTGTATATGTTGCAGTGGTTGCATACGTATGTTGCAAGCGTCTGTTCTCAATGTTTCATCTATTTTTTAAGACGTATGTTGCATGTGTGTTTATCTGAATGTTGCATATGTTTCACACATATGTTGCAAGTGTTTTATCTGGATGTTGCATGTGTGTTTACAATGATTTTCAAGTGTTTTCTGCAAGTGTTTACATATGTTGCAAGTGTTTCAACTAATTTTGACGTATGTTGCATGTGTTTTTCATCTAAATATTGCAAAAGTAGATCGAGATATTGCACATGTTGGGAGCAGATGTGGGAAGCGGCCGTAGGCGAAGGCGGTCCCCACGTGTGCTCAAGATGCGATGCGGGCGAGGCGGTCCCCACGAAGGGGCGTGGGCGAGCAGGTGGGCAGCAGACGAGCGAGTAGGCGGGCGAGCAGCGCAGCGTGCCAGCAGCCGCGGGCGTCCGGGCGTGCGGACGTCCTGACGCTACCGGTCCGATGTACGACTGAGCCGAATTCAGAGCTCTCTGGCTTTGGTTTGGCCTTAACGAACGCGCTTATTAGTAATCTTTTCTCTGTTCTTTGGATGGAATGCGCTTACTTATCTTGGTCAAACTGACATATAGAACTGGTACATATTCCTATTTTGGGGCCGACCGAAGTCGTGAGCGTACTTACTATCACAATTCGTATAGAAGTCAATTTACTATATTTTGTAATTTTCTACTTCCAAATTCAGAGAGCTGGACAGTATAGATGTTGAACAAGCTCCAACGTGTGCATGACGCCGCGAGAACCACATCTGCTAGGCCTCCGTCCCGAGATCGTACTGGACGTTGTACACTTCAAGCCTAGAGACGACGACGACGATGACGACAATGACGAGGAGGATTCCACGGGTACACTGCTGTCTGCTGATGCCCTGGCGTGAGCCAACGCCTCCGTGGTTGAGGCCACAAGGAGCATCCTGCGACGACGGCACCCTGGATGACACAGCATCGACCGCCTGAGCATCACGTTCTGCCTGAGGGACGAGTCCATGGACATCGCCCGCGCCGTCGACGACGCCATGGCAGGCAACCATAACATCCTCGCAGCGGAGTTCACGGTCATACCAGAGGAGCTGGACATCGACTGGATCGACGACGATGGCGTGCTCGCCAACGGAAGGCGGTTCATGAGCTTCGTCGCCGCGTGCCCCCGCGCATTTGCCGGTCTCACGGACCTGAGCTTGCACAGCGTGAGGCTCGGAGGTTCCGACACCCCTAACGTGCTCGGCACGTGCCAGAAGCTGAGGTTCCTTAGGCCTCTGCTTTGTGCTGCCCATGCGGCCTGGTGATGTTTACTGGCCTGGAAGGGGATCTCTCCAGTCTGCGGTCGTCGATTTGGTACAACAAACCTGCTATAACGTGTTTCCTGCTTTGCCAACTACATTATGTCAATTAACAGGAATTTCAGGTGCCTGTACATCACGGTGTTCGTGATGTCGCATCCAATGCATTTTACTACGTACTGCCTGCCTGGATGCTTTTCATGTTATATTTTTCAGCATAGCCATTTTTAGGAGTGCATACCGAGGAATGGAGCCATCCATAGCTGAATTTTCAAAGAATATGTTCTGTATTTGCATTAGCTGAAATTTCAAAGAACATGTTCTGTATTTGCATGCGATTATGTTATGTAGACCTCAGTTAGATATAGAGTTCTCCTTTTCCAGTTCCCTGTAACAAGACCAAACTATACATATAAATGCATAGTGAAGGGCTCTTTGACAAAATAGTAAATTTGTTCCCTTCTTTAGACTAAGCATGCTATATTACTTAATGCTGGAAATTCCTCATTTTTACCAAACCTTTCATATGACATGCAGGGTAGCCTGCTATCATGGGACTTCCAACACTCTCTCTCTCTCTCTCTCTATAGCTTAAGTGGAAACTGTTTTTCTTCTTCTTCTTCTTTTGGAATTGTAATTTTTGGGGGACAAGACCGTTGTGTACTTACAACATGATTGTTATTGCAATTAATGTGACATTCTCAATTACACTTCCATCTCCTTTGTTGCAAACAGGAATGATGAAACATTTTTGGACGAGCTGACTATTGTACCGCTCTTAAAAAGCTATAATTCTTATACTTCTGAAAAAGAAGATACTGACATTTTCTTATGTATGTCAAATGTATTTAATTTAGCTTTTCTGTTGGTTTGGGGATCCACTCCACTGAATATAAACTTGCTATACTCTTAGTACATGAATGAGAGACTCAAGTGGCATCATATTCATACACATATAAAAAAGGCAGATCAAGACACATTGGAGAAGGGCGCGGCGGAGCGCGCGGATCATACTAGTTATTTTGAGGCATGCATCCCTAGTCCACTCTGCCATCTGCAGGGCAGTTCACTTAAGTCATTCGTCAGCAGGTTGTATTAGCTAGGTTCTTGCCAGGTCAACAGCAGGCCACGCTGCGTACACACCAGTGTGAAACCCCAACTCCATGACATCACGTACGGAGGCCAAACTCCAAGGCGAAAGCCCGAGATATATAGTGGTTGCGCCTCCAGTGGTAGTGACATCGTCGTCTGCTGGTCCTGTGGCGTGGTGATGCACTCGGACTCGCGATACTGCCCTTATTAATAGTATGCCCAAACACTACCGGAAACACCTAATTTGCCGAGTGTCCCCACGTTTGCCGTGGGCACGATTTCGGGCACTCGGCAACATTGTGTTTGCCGAGTGTCCCAAATAGGAAACTCGGCAAAAATAACACTCACGGCATAACAGTTTATACCGAGTGCCTACACTCGCATGAGAATAGGCACACGGCAACATCATGTCCAATGAACACCGCCGATCTCCGTTATCCTATATGCCGAAAATGACAACACTGGCAAACACACATCGATACCGAGTATCACCTTTTGACACTCGGCAAACGGTATTATATGCCGAGTGTCCGACTCTTACACTCGGCAAACATTTTTTTTTTGATTTTGCCCCCCCAAACTTTTTGTACTGTTGTGTTACAATACCTGTTGCTCTCTGTTCAAGTAATGTACATTTCTGAGTTATTTTACTATATTTCATCAATTTATTTTAGTCAAATGAATTTTCGGTAATTTTTTGGATTTGAACTGCAAGTGCTTCGAATATCCGAAAAAAGTGAATAAAAAAATGATATTCTTTTCACTGAGTTTGTTTTGATACCGTATCCAAGGCCAGACCATAAATCTCGAACATTGTGTTCGCGAAACATGAGCAGAAACACGTGGCGGAAACGTCTGAAAATTCTATAAAAAACAAACAAAGTCTAAAAATCATGAAATTCATCGAGTTGTCAGGATATCATACGTGGAGGCTATGGTAAAAAATTGAGAGTGTTTCGGCAAAGTTGACACGTACGTTGTTTACAAATCGGATCATCTCCGGAGAAGTTTCTGAGATGTGAGAAAGATCCGGTAAGATGAGGAGACA